AGTTCCTCAGGGCACAATAAAGAAGAGGATCTGCTTGCATGGCCCCCCCTGCTCCGAGCTTGACACACTCGGCAAAGCTCCCCTAATTTGTTCCCGTCTTGGTGGCCATGCTGGGCAGGATGAGGCTCAGGGCTGGACCCGCGGTGCCAGGGCTCAGCAGCAGCTCTCCCAGGACCCAGTGGCCATCTTGGGCACAGGATCAGGCCCCGGGGCTGAGCACCTCTGCCCTGTGCAGACGCTCCAGAAGGACTTCATCTGTCTCCACCAGCATGGGCCACCACTGGCGCTTTCCCATCTCAGCAGGTCCCTAGTTTGTGTCACCTCATCCCTGCACCAAACCCATCCTCGTTAAAGCCAGCAGACAGCCGCCCAGGCCCGCTGTGCTCAGAGCAGGAGCAATGGTGCTGGTGCTGTGGGGTCCTGGGAGATGTGTGGCCTCCGCAGCCCCGTGCCAGCTCCCCCCGTGCCCCTGCCAGGCTCATGCTGAGCCCCGTGGGCAGTGGCAGCTCCCCCGGCCAGGGCGGCTGCCCGGCTCCCACCAAACCCCCATCTTCTGACCACGCGCGGGGCAGTGCTCAGGAACAGCCCTCGGTGCCACTTCGCCGCAGCTCGGGGCTGAGGCCCAGCCCTTGCCCGCCTTTCCCTGCCCCACCGAAGGGGCTGGTGTTTGGGAACAGTGTTAAAATCAGGGCACCTGGCACCAGCCTGCCCGCCCTTCCACCCTCTCTCCCCTGACCCGTGCACATCTGCTCCAGCCCCAGCCAGTCCACGCACATCTGCTCCATGCACATCCCCTGCTCTGTGCAAGTATCCTGCTCCATGTTTATCCCCTGCTCCTGCACGATGTGTAGGGGATGTGCATGGAGCACATCTGCTCTGTGCACATCTGGCTTTGTGCACATCCCCTGCTCCGTGAACATCCCCCTGCTCCATGCACATCCCCCTGCTCCATGCACATCTGCTTTGTGCACATCTGTTTTGTGCACATCCCCTGCTCCGTGCACATCTACTCCATGCACATCTGCTTTGTGCCAATCCCCTGCTCCATACACATCTGCTTTGTGCACATCTGCTCCATGCTCATCCGCTGCTTCATGCACATCTGCTCCATGCACATTTGCTCTGTGCACATCTGCTCCGTGCACATCTGCTTCGTGCACATCTGCTTTGTGCCTATCCCCTGCTCCATGCACATCTGCTTTGCACATCTGCTCCATGCACATCCCCTGCTCCATGCACATCTGCTCCATGCACATCTGCTCCATGCTCATCCGCTGCTTCATGCACATCTGCTCCATGCACATTTGCTCTGTGCACATCTGCTCCGTGCACATCTGCTTCGTGCACATCTGCTTTGTGCCTATCCCCTGCTCCATGCACATCTGCTTTGCACATCTGCTCTGTGCACATCCCCTGCTCCATGCCCACCTGCTCCGTACCCACCTCCGAGGGAGCCGGCCGGTGGTGGGTACGGAGCGTGGCAGTGGCAGGAAGCTGCGGGGTGCGTGCTCCGCGCCGGGCACTGCTGCAGCACCCAGGCACACCCCAGCACGATGTGCGCACACGCACCCACCGCGCCACGTGCCAACACTCCCTTCGTGGGCACGGGTGAAGGGGCACAGACGCTTTTGAGACAGAGGAACCCGCTGCTTCTGCCGCTGCTGCCACCTGGAACCTTGCGAGCTGCTGCAGTTGCTGACTTCCACCCTCCTGGAACCTTGCGAGCTGCTGCAGTTGCTGATTTCCAACTTCATCTACTTTTTACTGTGAAATCCAAAAAGAGAAGCGAAACAAGACAGCGTGAAATAGCAGCGTGTGCGTGCCCGGGGGAGCCATGTCTGCCAGCAGAGATCCTCGGGGGGGGAGGACTGGTACGGGGGGGCGAGGAGCCACGGCTGAAAATCATTTGCATGACTCGATAAGCATCCCCTGCTCTGGGGGGGTACGTGCCCTGGGGACAATTTTGTGTCATTTCTTGCTCGGGGGCACTCAGCGCTCCGTGGGCATGGCAGCAGGGGGACAATTTGCCAGGGCAGAGGTCCAGCACCGCCGGCCCCAGCACCCAGCCCCAGCCTGGACCCCGCTGTACCAGCCCCAGTAGCAGCGAGGGGCTGCGG